GGCAACTGCTTGGCATCCGACCGTAAGGCGCTACAGAGGGTAGTGCGTACAGCCCAGTACATCACTGGAGCCAAGCTTCCTGCCATCCAGGACCTCTATACCAGGCAGTGTCAGAAGAAGGTCAAAAAAATTAAAGACTCCAGTCACCCAAGTCATAGATTGTTCTCTCTGCTACCGCACGGCAAGTGGTACCGGAGTGCCAAGTCTAGGTCCAAAAGGCTCCTTAACAGCTTCTACCCCCAAGCCATAAGACTGCTGAACAATTAATAAAATGGCCACCCGGACTATTTAGATTGACACCCCTTTGTTTTTTGCTGCTACTCGCTGTTTACTATCTATGCATAGTCACTTTACCCCTACCTACATGTACAAATTACCTCGACTAACCTGTACCCCCACACATTGACTCGGTACCGGTAGCCCCTGTATATAGCCTCATTATTGTTATTTTATTGTGTTACTTTTTATTTTTTACTTTATTTAGTAAATATTTTGTTGAACTGCATTTGTAAGTAAGCATTTCACGGTAAGGTCTACACCTGTTGTATTTGGCGCATGTAACAAATAAAACTTGATTTGATTTTAAATGCTTGTGTTCCTAGCTCCAACAGTGCAGTAGTGTCTGTGCATTGGGCATTCGGGAACGTCTGTATAACTGGATCATGGACTTCCTGTTCGATCGAGTCATACAGGTGAAGGTGGGGTCAGAATTGTCAATGTGGTTTGAAGTGGACAATGGTACTCCTCAGGGAAGTGTGGTTAATCCGGTGTTGTTCACCCTGTTGATACAGTATATAGATAATCGGTTTAATTCATTTTTAAGGATATATAGAGATGGTTCAAAGGATCCAGTCAGCGGTAGGGTGGGGGCAGGGGTGTATATCACATATTTCAATGTTAAGAGTATGTAAGCGGTTAACTGATTGTGTCAGTGCATGCGGCCGAGTTGATGGCCATGATTATGGGTTTGAGATGGGTGGAGAAGGTGAAACCACTCAGAGTGGTGATCTGCTCTGATTCGGCTGCAGTGTTGAGTAGTGTGAAGACGGGCAGGTCAGATATGGGAGACTTGTTTGTGGAGATGATGGTGCTCTTAATGGGATTGGAGAGGATGGGAGTGGTGGTAAGCGTTTGCTTACCAGGGAGTGGGATGCTAGTAGTAAGGGGAGGCAATCATTTCGCATACACCGGTCAGTAAAGGAAGAGGTGGGGAGTATGGGATGTCAGAGAGAGGAACTTGTGTGGAGTAGACTACGGTTTGGGCACACAGTGTGAATGCCACGTTGTGGATGATAGGGAGACATGAAACAGGTCTGTGTAACGAGTGTTTAGTGGAGGAAACGATGGAGCATATGCTGATATTTTGTGAACTGTATGACATAGATAGGGAGAGATTGTGTGAAAGGGTTAGAGAGGCTGGATGGGGTTGGGGTTTGGGTGGTGTAGTGGGGGGAGGGAAGTGGTGTCTAGGGCTCTATTTCACTTTCTTAGAAGAACAGGACTAATTAAGATAATTTAATGTAGATAGGCTGTGACTGGCCTCACACTCCAGTACAGTAGGTGGCAGTATATGCACCTTAAAAGGTGAATGCGATCCGCCAACCCATTCTCAAAGAATAAGAAGAAATGTAGTAGTATATTGGACATACCGTACATAATTTCCTGTACATTGTGTTGCAGTAAAAGTGGGGTCCATTCTACCCAGGAGCACTTCTACTTTCCAAATCCACAGTTTATACCCCCAAGGCCGTCATTGATATTATTGTGGCCCTTTAAGAATGGGAAATCAGCTTAAATACATGTGCTACAACGGAGTACTTTGGCAGTTTACAATAAAACTGAATTACAGTGCAGTTTCCATAAGATATAAGAAAAAACATATTAAAAGAGAAACACATTTACATTTTCACAACTCTAAGCACAGAGCTCTAAACAGATCATAAAAATGGCTTGTTTCAAAACTAAGCACATTTTCAATTAAGTACAACAAATTCACTCACATCCTACGTATACTGTATAAGAATAATGAAACTCTAAGACTGACATATTTCTCAAAATGCTCACAACCTGCCATTGGATACAAACTCTAAAAAATATGTATTTGGTTTGTAAAAAAAAAAATGTTAAAGTCAAATACTGTATAGAAAATATTTCCCATCTACTATTCTTTATATTCAACACTTCAAATAGAATCGTTTTTAAATTTGTATTATTATTTTTTTAATCTAGTTAAAATTACTAAACTATGAGCCTATCATTATCTGATGTAGGCCAATTGGTGACTAAAAATGTTGTCATGGTACTTCACAGAAAATGGAATTTGCATGAATGGCTCAGGAGTGAAAGATGTGTTCAACTCCAATGAATGCACAATCAAAGGTTCTGAACATAAGATAGGGGACATCACAAGTGTTACCAGTTAAGCGTTTAGTACTTAAAGAGTTTTACATCTGAAAACGGTGCCAAAATGAATGAAAAAACTACATAATACAAATATTTCACATTGAACAACTACCCCATATAGTGTCCGTTTAAAAGCATAACTTATGATTGAATTGAGTTTACACCCCCAGGGTCGTATCTGCTAATTTTGTGTCCCATAAAAAGTCAGAAATCAGCTGTAATGCATTACATTTTGCATACTGAACTCAGAATATATTGTTTGTTTGTTGTGTTGCATTGTAACATGCTGTTAGATACCTGCAAGGACTGGGAAGGGATAAGAGAGTTAGGCCTACACCAATCACCTACGTATTATACAGTGCCTTCGGAAAGTATTCAGACCCCTTGACTTTTTCCACATTTTGTTACGTTACAGCCGATTTGTTGTTTTCAAAAACGTTTGACTCAATTTGGCATGAGGGTCTGATATATAAATTGATGGAAAGCAGTGTTGGGGGGAAAACATGACAGAATCCATGTACACAAAAAAGTGTGTATTTAAAATAGACAAAAAACAGTTCTTTCCTCAGGGCAGGGGGAGAGAGACAGGGATGCAGCTTGAGCCCCACCCTCTTCAACATGTATCAATTAATTGGCGAGGGAACTAGAACAGTCTGCAGCACCCACCCAGTTTACGGTTTGCAGATCTGGTGCTTCTGTCCCCAACCAAGAAGGGCCTACATCAGCACCTATATCTACAAATTCCACCTAGACACTGTTGCCCTAGAGCAACTATACCTACCTCGGCATAAACATCAGCACCACAGGTAACTTCCACAAAGCTGTGAACGATGAGACAAGGCAAGAAGGGCATTCTACGCCATCAAAAGGAACAAAATCTGACATCCCAATTAGGACCTGGCTAAAAATACTTGAATCAGTTATAGAACTCATTGCCCTCTATGGTTGGGAGGTCTGGGGTCCACTCATCAATAATTCACAAAATTGAGGCTCTGAATGCAGAACTCTGCAAAAACGTCAGTGTACAACGTAAAATACAAAATAATGCACGCAGAGCAGAATTACGATGTTTCCTGCTAATTATCAAAATCCAGAAACAAGCAATTAAATTCTACCACCTATAACTAAGCGATTCTCAAACCTTCCATAACAAAGCCCTCACCTACAGAGACATGAACCTGGTGAAAAGTCCCCTAAGCCAGCAGGTACAGGGACTCTATAAAAAAGAGCAAACTGGAATGCTATTTGGCCGTAAACAGAGTACAGTAGCAGAGCACCTTAACACTGACTGACCCAGCTGCATTCCTATCTGCCAAATGTATGACCATATTAAAGCCACAAGAAAAACTATATTTAATGTTTATTTTCCCTTTCATACTTCAACTAGTTGCACATTGTTACACCTTACATAGCCCATAACATTTGAAATGTCTACACTCTTAACTTTGTGTAATGTTTATTTTCTGATTATTTCCCCTTGTCTAGTCCACTTTTTTTTATTTATAAATAATAATAATAATATAATATGCCATTTAGCAGACGCTTTTATCCAAAGCGACTTACAGTCATGCGTGCATACATTTTTTTTGTGTATGGGTGGTCCCGGGGATCGAACCCACTACCTTGGCTTTACAAGCGCCGTGCTCTACCAGCTGAGCAAGTCAGTTAAGAACAAATTCTTATTAAAAATGACAGCCTACACCGGCCCAATTGTGCACCACCCCATGGGACTCCCAATCACGGCCAGTTGTGATACAGCCTGGAATCTAACCAGGGGGTCTGTAGTAACGCCTCAAGCACTGAGATGCAGTGCCTTAGACCACTGCGCCACTCGGGGAGACACCTGCTTTGGCACTGTAACCATGTTTCCCAAGCCAATAAAGCCCTTTGAATATTTATCTTCAACGACAATTTGAATAATGCAATGGATGTTTCGTGCAGAGAAGTGATGACTAAAGTGACATGAATTTTTTTATCTGACTTCTCTATTGGCCGTGTTTGGAAATGGTTGTTCTGGGCCAGGCATCTTTTAAAAGTGCAGTACTGAAACAAAACCATGCCCTTTGAACAGAACTCTGGCCCCTTCTTGCTGGCTTCAGAGGTCCGACTAGCTTCTTCATGTACGACTTCCGTCACACTTGACGCGACATATGCTGCTTCTCACAGGTCAAATACTGTACCACACCCTAAATATCAGAGGTCAGTTCGCAAGCTGTGGAAGACATGTTCAGTTCTTTCTGATCATACAAGTCTACCCACAGCCACTACAGGTTGTATTTCTCTACCCATATAAATCTATTATTGGGAACATTGACATCTTCCAGTCACAAGGCCCGCCTTCAGTTTGCGACTATTCAGAAGGTTTTCCATTAAATTCTCTTTACAATACAGTGTCCGACTTAAACTTGACAAGAACCTTCTCATTCAGGTGTGGCAGTCACACCAATCAGGTTGTGGCCCAAAACCTGACTTTATACCTAGCCACTTGGCTAAAACATGAACACAAAGGTGGATTGATTTTCTAGATGTTATTTATTTTAATTCAAATGATCTTCTTGAATTTGGATAGCAACCATAGGAGTGGAGTTGACTGCCGTCTAGTCAAACAGGCCGAAGCCCATGTCGTCGTCCGAGCCCTCCTCAGACTCCTCCTTGGCCTCTTCTTTAGCGGCGGCTGGGGCAGTGGCAGTCTCTGCTGCAGCCACAGGAGCAGCGACAGCGAAGGCAGTGGGGTCAGCCAGGTAGGCCTTCACCTGGGAAAAAGGGGGTAGAGAAGCAATGTCAACTAAAATGTAGATATCTATGGATAAAACATGCTGATGGGCAACCTGGTGTCTGAGACCAAGGGTCCTTGCCAGCCGTGGGTTGCAGACACGGATAGTAGGAGACAGATCTGTGCAGGGTGAACGACAGCCCAGCACTTTAACAAGCTGCACTGTAACTTATCCTGCAGCTGGGAATCAAAACTGTGGCCTATTCAAAAACAAACAGCGCCCCCTATATCCCATGTACATGTTAGAACAAAGGATTTGATAGGCATAAGCAATGTGAACATTCCTAGCCTGGTGGGCAAGGTAGAGCTACAACCATTTACTTAAACAATTATTTTAGACCTAACGCAACTGCCTAGGGGCTAGGTTTTGTTTGTGGACTGTGCCAGTATTTGGTCTGTCATACATTTCAATACTATGTGGTCCAAATGTGGGTGGGACAACATACCTTGTCTGCCAGGGGGAAGGAGTAGTCAGTCTCCACGGCGACAGCCAGGACCCTCTTGTATCCGTTGATGATGGTGTGAGGGACAGAAGCCAGAGTGGGGTATCCGATCTCCAGACACACACTGGCTATGTTCCGCACACCCTGAAAGACAACAAGTTGGTCAGGTATGACAGCAACTTACAGCACTTCACTCAAGTCTATTCAACACATTTAGATTTGTCTGAGACCAAGCGTCCCTGTCAGCCGTGGGATGCAGACTAACAGGGATAGTAGGAAACTAGTTGATGTGTGCAGGGGGAACGACAGAGTAGCACTGAACAAGCTGCACTGTAACTTATCCTGCTACCTCAAAGGCCAAAAAAAAAAAAAAAAAAAAAAAAAAAGAATTTCCAGATTCTTCTTCCAATGGTTCAGTTGTCATTTTCAGAACATTAGATATGGACAGAAGACTATGGAGGAAGGGGAACCAATTAAGACTTAATAGGACAGAGCTACACTTCAGTCAGTTTCATTTAGTACCCAGGGCACCAATAATAATACAATGGGTTTTGATCATGGACCCAAAGTGGCTTTACAAGGCATTGTGTATGTGCTTCCTCACCTCCAGGAACCTGGCGTGCAGAGCATCCTCAGTAATGTCGAGCACCTCAGGGCTGTAGACACTACCGTTGTCATAGACCTGCTGGATGAGCAGACCGAAGGAGAAGGGCGAGATGTTCAACATGTTGAGCAGCGTGGCCTCGCTGGCTCCCACCTTGTCTCCAGGCTTGATGAGCATCACATCGCTCTGTAGGGAGAAATTAAGGGATCAGATAGTCTAGTGTTTAATTTTCAGAAACACCTTTCATTGTTTTCTAGAGAAAAACTGATTACATACTAACCTAACCCTACCTGAATCAGTGCATTACACACACAATAGCCTAGCAACTTGCGCATGGTTATCTATTCAGCCAGCAACATATTTGATCAAATCAAGAAACCCTTCTCAGACAAATGCCTCGATGTCTTCAATTGAAAAGACACACTGCTCTGGGGAGCTGAACCCAGAGACACAGAACGTGACCCTGACCCAGTGACCCCAGAGACAGACTTGTGTCCCATTCCGACTCGTCATCGTCACATCACTGAAGAACCTCTTATTTTGATGACTGAACGCAATTCCACCATACCATTATTCTATTGTAGAGCCCAATAAGCATAGACTGGCTGAGATATTGCCTAAGGACCAAGACTGCAGTCGCCACACTCACCAGGATTTCAATAGTTCCTCTGGAGATCTTGGTGGTGATGCCCAGGGCCTGGAAGAAGGAAGTCTTCTCAGGACCCAGCCCAGTGTTCTGGGCTGGCACAGTCACATCACAGGGGGCAATAGCGCCGGCACGGGCAGCAGCTGGCACCTGAGGGGCAGAGGTTTGGAGGTTAGTGAACAATCAAGCTATGGCTCCCATTCAAACAAAAGTGCAGAGTCCATGGATGCATGCCAAATGACAGCCCATGAGACTGAGCAAAATCCATAGGAAAGTGTCAGTATGAAAAACGACTCAAATGTAAATGTGTCTGAGACCAAGCGTCCCTGTCAGCCGTGGGATGCAGCAACAGGTCTGTAAAGGAATATTTGATGCTTAAACACAAAAGCAGTAAGAAATAAAAAGTGTAAAAATAAACCAAATAATACCCCTAATAATGCCTGTCAAAAGTAGTAACAAGGACCCAAAGGATCAGGACTCATATACCAGGCACCGGACGAGTCAATGTCCCCGGGGCAGTACATGTTGATTCAAGGTCTCCTTGGTGACAGTTTCTTGAGTTGAGAACGTGGATCACACTTACACCTCATAACCAACGATACATGGAATACCAAGAGACAAAATGTGTCTGTGAAACTTCCACTTGCTCCAGGGCGGGGGGTTTCCTGCCAGGGGCCGCAGGAGGCTTGCCACGCTGATGTTTATACCCTTTAAAATAGCCACCACAGATTCAGAAGGAAAGAACGGAATGGCCACATCTGCTTTGGAAGACAACACCATTGTCGGCTGCCGCCACGATGAAGATTTCTGGTAAGTCTTTCCACATTGCTGCAAAATGAGAATAGCAAAGTGGTCCTCTGTAGCTCAGCTGGTAGAGCACGGCGCTTGTAACGCCAAGGTAGTGGGTTCGATCCCCGGGACCACCCATACACAAAAAAAAAAATGTATGCACGCATGACTGTAAGTCGCTTTGGATAAAAGCGTCTGCTAAATGGCATATTATTATTATAAGCCCTTAACCAACAAAGCAGTTAAGAAAATAAAAAGTTACGTAAAAAAATAAAGCAAATAATTAAAGAGCAGCAGTAAAATAAAAGAACAGTAAGGAGGCTATATACAGGGGGTACCGGTACAGAGTCAATGTGTGGGGGTATCGGTTAGTCAAGGTAATATGTACATGTGGGTTGAGTTAAAGTGACTCATCACTTCACCTTGTGAATACGACCCTTGGTTAGCCTCTCAGGCCAAAATGTGTTTGCTGTGAACTTACTTCTCCAGGGCGGGGTTGTTCTCCAGGAGGCCGCGGATGGCTTTGCGCATCATGGTGTTTTTACCCATGAGCACCACAGCCTTCCCACGCAAGGACAGACGGATGGCCTGCATCTGCTTGGAGCCCACATTGTCGGCGCCGACGATGAAGCATTTGGGGTAGTCATCCAGCAATTGCTGCAAAGAGAATAGCAAAAGTGAGTCTAACAACCACTTCTAAATTCACTGTTTGAAGAAATGTAAACCCTCCCCCATGGGATAACAAGGAAGACTGTGCAAAATCTTTATTCAGTTGGCTACAATGCCGTACAAAAGTGTCTGAGACCATGCGTCCCTGTCAGCCGTGGGATGCAGGCAGACAGGGATAGCTAGGAAACTAGTTGATGTGTGCAGGGGGAACGACAGAGCAGTACTGAACAAAATGCACTGTAACTTATCCTGCTTTGTACATGGTCAAGCATAAGCTGGTTTATACACTTTCGGGCATCATTGTTCTTACAGTCAAAAGTGATCAATTGTTTCAACGTACGATGATTTTCATAAAATAGTTGGACTTCCACGTGGTCCTGTCTTCCCTCGGCATCTTTGCAGTGCTTCGAAGGATCGCTTAAAAAGCTGGTTTAAAGACAAGATTTTCTATGGAAAATAAAACGATGTTAGACATGTAGCAGGTTCAAAACTAACGTTAAGTTACCATTACAGTAACCACCAACCTAGCCATCTAGCTAAACTAGCAGTCACTACTCACCTAGCTAATACAATGCAAAATTGGACTAGCTTTAACTAGTAGCTAGCGGACATAGCAAATACCTATAATGTAGACTAGACATCTCTATACCTATATAACTAGTTAAGACTTGTTTTTGGACGTGACTTTAAAAGTGAAAATATTGTACCGGTATGGGTAACAAGAAATGTAACTAGTTAAATGTTACGGAAATAATGGTCGCACATGGCAGTAACCCACACAGCGAATAGGCCGCACAGACGAAACACAATAAATTAAAAGAATTAGTCATCCTATTGATCTTTTAACATTATCACAGTACTGTATTGGAACGTAATCAACAAAGTATTTTATCAACCAATACAGCGAAACACATTTTAACATGTAATCACCCATAGACTCAAGGCCATAAAAATCCCTTACCTCGTACCAAGGACGCGTGAAAGAAAGAGAACCACAGAGTAAGCGCACAAGCAATATACAGCACAAACAGCCAATCACAATCCACTACGACAACTATGGTCCACAGACATGATTGGCCATCTGTGTAAATCTTTTGTCGGTTGCTGGCCGTGGGTACGTTCGTTTTATAACCCTGTCCACATCGGCAGAGCGAGCCAGGCAGGAAATGCAGACTAGATTGGGTACGTGAGTATGTCAAGATCAAAAGAAAAAAAGATGGAGCAAAACTAAAACTAAAGACCCATCCATACCTATCTGCTTATAGTCTTAGCATTCATTTTGTGTCGTGTGCATAGTAATTGAGACGAAACCAATGTGTCAGAAATAAAACAATGTATTTATTGGCATCAATCACATTTAATTAAAATTGATCAGCAATCAGGTACCATATAGCCATCCCAGAAACCATAACAGAGGTACATGGGCAAATAAAACAGGCAAGAAAGGAAAAAACAAAACCACATACAGTATTGGGGGGAAATAGTTCCTTTCAGATAAATTAAAGGGATCAAATGACAAGGTTAACTTGTAAATGTTTAAATAAAAAGGCTTTGATTTTCCAATAAAAGGCATAGAGTCGTCTGCGTAGGCAGACGGGTTGCTTCCCACATAGGTCTGGGATTTCTGAGTCAACAGAGAGGGCAGAGAATTAAAGCAAAGAAATGTAATAGGATAAATAAATGTAGCAACAATTTTTTTAAAACAAAATTACAATCCCACATAGGGTGTAGAAAAAAGAAGAAAAAAAACATACATATGGTGTAGAGATACACCAAAGTAAACATGCTCTCAAGCCTCTCTTTAAAGGGCCCCATTTGTTGCATTCCAACATTTGGGCTGGTGCCTAAACCTGTCGTCTTGGCTTCTCTCAAGGAATCTTTCCAGTAATTTCCCCTTGATTGAGGAACTGTACTGTCCAGGACTAGATTCAGGCAGCCTGGCAGCACTTACACCTGTTTTCATTGTCTGTGTCTCTGGTTTCCAAAGCATGGCTATAAAGGCTACCAGAGGGATATTTCACCAAGCTTGATCCATTATTTGGCACACTAACTTGAACATTCACTGAACAATTTAGGATTTAATGGCTTAGAAAGAGAGCCTGACTTAAAGCAGTCAATAAGAAGTAGTACTAACCCTTCTTCTGTTACACCTCAGTCTATGAATTCCAAAATTAAATTAGAATATTATGTTAGCAGCATTTCCTCATTAACCAGGCTAGGTGAAATGCCCCTCTGTAGATTCATCACGTTCATGTCAACACAGTTGCACTACTAGAGAAGCTCAAGGAATCTATGGCATAGCCAGGCTGAAAGTGCTTTAAAAACCCACATCTCAGGGGGTTGAAGAAACAAAACCGTTCCAAACATCACCAGAAATGGCACCCCAGCCTGAGGAGGGCAGACACAAAAATCACCCAATAGCAACATGTAGTAATTTTACATCAACAATTACTATACAACTTTAATCTGCCAACTATACTGTGCTGTGAGGCCAGCCTGTTTTACTGACACCCAATACCCAGAAGTGCATGTCAATAGTCTAAAATGGCTTCCCTATTTGTCTCTTCTTCATTTACACTTCATTGTAAGCTATATTGAGGTTGTATTCCAGGGGTTTGCCTTCAGCTGTCCAGTACTTTCACATCAGCGCATATGGAGGAAATAAGCAGAGGAGAGGAAGCCAATTTAGATGTTTGAGATCCACCCCAGGCCACTGGCTGGTCCAGCCATTGTTGTTCTACGATATCATAATGGCTTCACCAATCCGATCACAGCAAGGACTTGGAAGTCCGCCATATAACTCCACAGTGTTAAAGACATTGCATTGAACATTTGGCACTAGAAAAATTATCTTTATTCTCTCAAAGTGTTTAGAAATGAAAACTAAATGTATGCGTATATATACCACAACCAACATGCCAAGTGATGACAACTGGATTGGAAACCATTAAAACAAATATTTAGCATAAAAATATAAGCAACATGTGTAAAGTTAAAATCTCTGTTTCACAATGATTCACATATGCAACATTACAAGGTCACTTGAAAAAAATTAAACAGTGGATGATGAAATAAGTACAGTGGCTTGTGAAAGTGTTCACCCCCCCTTGGCATTTTTCCTATTTTGTTGCCTTACAACCTGGAATTAAAATTGATTTTTTGGGGTTTGTATCATTTGATTTACACAACATGCCTACCACTTTGAAGATGCAAAATAGATTTTCTTGTGAAACAAACAAGAAATAAGACAAAAAAACAAAACTTGAGCGTATATAACTATTCACCCCCCCCAAAGTCAATACTTTGTAGAGCCACCTTTTGCAGCAATTACAGCTGCAAGTCTCTTGGGGTATGTCTCTATAAGCTTGGCACATCTAGCCACTGGGATTTTTGCCCATTCTTCAAGGCAAAACTGCTCCAGCTCATTCAAGTTGGATTGGTTCCGCTGGTGTACAGCAATCTTTAAGTCATACCACAGACTCTCAATTGGATTGAGGTCTGGGCTTTGACTAGGTCATTCCAAGACATTTAAATGTTTCCCCTTAAACCACTTGAGTGTTGCTTTAGCAGTATGCTTAGGGTCATTGTCCTGCTGGAAAGTGAACCTCCGTCCCAGTCTCAAATCTCTGGAAGACTGAAACAGGTTTCCCTCAAGAATTTCCCTGTATTTAGCGCCATCCATCATTCCTTTAATTCTGACCAGTTTCCCAGTCCCTGCCGATGAAAAACATCCCCACAGCATGATGCTGCCACCACCATGCTTAACTGTGGGGATGGTATTTTCGGGGTGATGACAGGTGATGGGTTTGCGCCAGACATAGCGTTTTCCATGATGGCCAAAAACCTCAATTTTAGTCTCATCTGACCAGAGTACATTTTTCCATATGTTTGGGGAGTCTCCCACATGGCTTTTGCTTATTTTTTTTCTTTAAGCAATGGCTTTTTTCTGTCCACTCGTCCGTAAAGCCCAGCTCTGTGGAGTGTACGGCTTAAAGTGGTCCTATGGACAGATACTCCAATCTCCGCTGTGGAGCTCTGCAGCTCCTTCAGGGTTATCTTTATAGTCTCTTTGTTGCCTCTCTGATTAATGCCCTCCCTGCCTGGTCTGTGAGTTTTGGTGGGCGACCCTCTCTTCGCAGGTTTGTTGTGGTGCCATATTCTTTCCATGTTTTAATAATGGATTTAATGGTGCTCCGTGGGATGTTCAAAGTTTTGGATATTTTTTTATAACCCAACCCTGATCTGTACTTCTCCGCAACTTTGTCCCTGACCTGTTTGGAGAGCTCCTTGGTCTTCATGGTGCCACTTGCTTGGTGGTGCCCCTTGCTTAGTGGTGTTGCAGACTCTGGGGCCTTTCAGAACAGGTGTATATATACTGAGATCATGTGACAGATCATGTGACACTTAGATTGCACACAGGTGGACTTTATTTAACTAATTATGTGACTTCTGAAGGTAATTGGTTGCACCAGATCTTATTTAGGGGCTTCATAGCAAAGGGGGTGAATACATATGCACGCACCACTTTTCCGTTATTTATTTTTTAGAGTTTTTTGAAACAAGTTATTTTTTTTATTTCACTTCACCAATTTGGACTATTTTGTGTATGTCCATTACATGAAATCCAAATAAAAATCCATTTAAATTACAGATTGTAATGCAACAAAATAGGAAAAACACCAAGGGGGAAGAATAGTTTTGCAAGGCACTGTAAATCAATTACATATCAAAAACAAAAGCTCAAACCTGACCCACTGCAGTGATTTGGGATCAGGTAACAAGGAGATCTAGGTGCCATTATTGACCTGGGGGTGCATCCCAAATGGCACCCTATTCCCTATATAGTGCACTACTTTTGGCCAGAGCCCTATGGGCCTTAGTCAAAAGCAGTACACTTTATAGGGAATAGGGTGCCATTTGGGAATCACACTAGGTACTGACTGCAGATCAGTGTGTCCAGATTACCATGTGACTGAGGACATTTCGGGAACCCATGGTTAGAAAATGGCCCTGTTGCCTGAAATCCAACCTAGTGTGTGTGTGAATTAGGGTCCATTTATGTCTATGTCCATAGAGCCAGCTCTTTGCATATCAGCGTGAGCTACAGAGCTCAAAATCATACAGTGACAATACTGCTCCATGTCACTAAACCAAGTATGTTAAAGTCAATTTAATATTGTGATTGTAAGAACAATCAGCAGAAAATGCTGACAAAAATCTCTTCAACTTGTATTGCAGAATGTGTGTTGCTCATTAAGTCAATAAGCAGTGAGGTTAAAAACCAATCCACCCTGTACATTAAAAGGACCAAGTCTCTCTCTATTACTTACTCTTTAAGTATCTGAGGGAAAACACACACATTGTCAGTAGCTAAATGTACAACAAAACATTGCCCCAAGAAAAGCACTCCCCATTCACTCTGAATTAATTCATTTTAAGACTTGGATAAATGTGTGGGCGAATACAGTAGCAAATAAAGAGGCAAAATACACACAATTAACATGTTGTTTCTAACCAACATGCTCCAGTATTTTGTCCTGTTTCCTTATAGAGGGAGAAGTCTAGCCTGGTTACACCAGACGGAAGAACGCTGTGCTCAGTTTGGTTGCCAGGCTAAAAGATGCCTCCCTACCCAAAGCTGATGGAAAGTAAGGGACGAGCAGAGATCCTCCGAGATGAGAGGTCCCCAACACTCACCCGAACACCCCCATCCTCTGTCCACATCAAGGGAAAGACAATATTCAAATGTACATTCTTTTAAAATCAGATGACATTAATGAGAATTCATATGAGATCGGTAGCGCAAAGACTGATCTACAGAAAATAGAAATGGAGAGTCCATAGCACATGGAAAAAAGCAGTAGTCTGGAGAGTAAGTGTGTGTGTCTCTAAACAACGTGTCTCATTTTGTACAAACACATTTGAGAGTTTTGTACAGTTCCATTGGAAAAATTAAGCAAACAGGGAAAAGGAATTTGGATCTACTAAATCTATGCTGCTGAGCCGTCCTTGTTAGTCTATGAACATTTCCATAGGAAAAGTGTACAAAAATAGGACCCTGATATCTTGACCATACCAGGCTGTAAAATGGCCCCATGAGGGCCGCAGAGAGAGGAATCTGTGATTGAGTTGAGTGAGCACCAAGTGTTTGAACTGGTCTTAGAGAAGTGAAGAGAAAGGGAGGAGACGAGGAGGGAAAGAGGAGACGAGAGCTTTTCCTCTTCTCAGAGTTTAAAGTGTGTGTCTGTGTGTGTGTGTGTGTGTGTGTTTGAGATCAAGAGACAGTTTATAGGTGTGCATTTGTAATGGCACCGACATACCCCTATGACCTGACCTCCACGCGTCGGTCACATGATAACGCAGGAAAATAAATCCTTTGCAGAGACTGTTGCTCCGAACAGGACATTAAAAAAGTCTCACACACAAATGGCTTCTCTCGCTCGTTATACATTTACAAAAATCTCTTTGGGCTCTCTTTAAACCTCATGCTTTCTGGAACTCTTAAAATATCAACCCCACGGCCCTCAAGGCTCTGTTACCTCCAGGTAACTGTAGGGGAGCTTTTCAAATGGCCAGTCTCATCTTAGCTACATGCACAGTAAGGAACAACTCTCTGCTTCCTCATCATAGCCACTGACTACCTTCTATCCCAGCCTCCACCTTTCGACACACACATCCACCCCGTGTCCTGATTCTCTTCCTGTGTACTTCTCCCCAGACATTTTAAAGCATTGGACTGGTGTAGAGATGGCTGGAGTTTCCACTATATTTCCTACACCTGTCATTTCCTTTTAAATTCATGAAGGGAGCAAGTGCCCACTTAGGGTAGAACGGTAGAGAATTGGGACACAGCATACACACACACACACACACACGCAGGCACACGCAGGCACACGCAGGCACACACACGGCTGGGGAGTGGGTTAGCTCCCTAGCTGAAGAGCTTGATGAAGCAGCCCTGGCAGTAGGGCTTGTCGTTCTGCTCCTTGAAAGTGCCCTTATTGAGCTGCTTGAGGCAGAAGGCACAGACAAAGTGCTCGGGGTGGAACTTCTTGGCCATGGCCGTGATGCAGCGGCCCGTGATGGGCTTCTGGCAGCCGGAGCACAGGGAGCCGCGGCGCTCGTGGTAGTGGCCCTCGCAGTAGGGCTGACCCTCGTGCTCAAAGAAGCTCCCATTTACAAAGGGGGTGAAGCACTCCTGTAATGCACAGAGGTGGGAAGAAAAGGAAAGGAGGTTGTCACAAAATGGCTGAGGCAATCAATACTGTTTTTGGAAATACCTTTTTTTCAAGAACTATATGAAAGCTATAGGTAACTGCCAAAATAAAGGAAACATGAGTAAATGAGGGTTCTGGCGGCTCTGTTATGGTGTGGGGTGATTTTTCCTGGCATGGTTTAGGTCCACTCAACCCCTTAGAGGGCAAGGTAAACGGCAATAATACACAGCCATTCTGAGTGATCACCTTCAACCTATGGTGAATCATTTCTATCCTGATGGGAGTGGTCTCTTCCAGGATGACAATGCCCCCATCCACAGGGCAAGTGGTCATTAAATGGTTTAATGAGCATAACATTTGATGTAAATCATACGCCATGGCCGTCTCAGTCACCAGATCTCAACCCCATTGAACACTTATGGGAGATTCTGGAGCGGTGCCACCATCAACAAAACAACAAATTATGGAATTTCTCGTGGAAGAATGGTGTCGCATCCCTCCAACAGAGTTCCAGACACTTGTAGAATCTATGCCAAGGCGCATTAAAGCCGTTCTGGCGGCTCGTGGTGGCCCAACGCCCTATTAAGACACTATGTTGGTGTTTCATTTATTTTGTCTGTTACCTGTATGTCTCACCATATATAGATGAGGGATAATACGCTTAGAATAGCACCACAGCACACACCCACTTACCCTGCAGACGAAGCACTCAGGGTGCCAGAGGGAGTTGAGGGCTGATATGTAGTTCTCCAGGATGGCACGGGCACAGCCTCCACATTTGGGCGCAAACATGTCAAAGTAGTCCTTCCGACAGTACGCCTTCCCATCCTTCTCATGGAAGCCTGTGGAGGAGGGGCAGAGAAGGACACTGCCTTAAGACGACAGAGAGAGAGAAAAGAAGAGAAGAACGACAGACAGAGGAGACTGAGGGCAAGAGAAGAGAAGCTAGAGAGAAAGGAATAGAGAAGAAAGATGGAAGAATAGAGGAGAGGAGAGAGAGGGGAGAGAGATAGCTTACCCTCTGGACCAAAGAAAGCTCCACACTGAGCACAGAAGAAGTGTTCTGGATGCCAGTTCCTGTCCAGTGCCGTCACCACTTTCTGTAGGGGACAAAAAAAGATCCATATTTTTCCCCAAATGCAGTTAGCATACAAAACATTAAGAACACCTGCTCTTTCCATGACAGACTGACCAGGTGAATCCAGGTGAAAGCTATGATCCCTTATTGATGTCATTTGTTAAATCCACTTCAGGAGACTTAAGCCTTGAGACAATTGAGACATGGATTGTGTATGTGTGCCATTCAGAGGGTGAATGGGCAAGACAAAATATTTAAGTGCATTTGAACGGGGTATGGTAGTAGGTGCCAGGCACACCGGTTTGTGCCAAGAACTGCAACGCTGCTTGATTTTTCACACTCAACAGTTTCCCATGTGTATCAAGAATGGTCCACCACCCAAAGGACATCCAGCCAATTTGACACAACTGTGGGAAGCACTGTAGTCAACATGTGCCAGCATCCCTGTGGAACGCTTTCGATACCTTGTAGAGTCCATGCCCCGACGAATTGAGGCTGTTCTGAGGGCAAAAGGGGGGTGTGCAACTCAATATTAGGACAGTGTTTTTCATGTTTCGTACACTAGTCTCTCTAGACAGACGGGTTGGCTCCCACAATGTACCAATGTTTCCGGCTTACACATCTGTATGGATGCAACGTCAGTTTGGCATAGAGGAACTACGTCACTGCTTTATCTGCTTGTTGCCCACATCCTCCCGGACACAAAATATTAGCTAGCAAGATGGAAATCACTGAGGTTATTTTTAATGAGTGCATTTTGCAAGTGGCTAGTTTGCATCAACTACTTTCACTTAAACCACTGCAAAGGTTTTTGCCTGCAAATCGCGACGTTTTGACATGCCTGCCTCGTGATTTGTTGGGAGAGTTGTCTGTCTGAAGAGGTCCCTCCCCGGAACATATTTTTCCCCTTTTCGAAGTTAACAAGAGTCCGTTATTAATCCCAGACCCAAGTCACTGCTGTTGCCTAGGGTCTGGGTTTCCGAGGCTAGTTAGCAGCATATTGAATTCATAAAATCAAGGTTTTAGGCATTTTGCCTATAGCCAGCAGATGGCAGCACTACTATAGTGAGGCTGACGACAGAGTAGTATAGAGCAGTCTGTCTAGTGAGGACAAAGTAGCGTGACGAGAGAGAGCAATAGAAAGAAAGGAGAGAGAAAGGAGTGATATGAATACACCACATTGGACCAATGAGGAAGCTTGTCTCCACTGTGACTAATCTGACCTATCCCGAGGCTAAAGTCCAGTCGCTGTACTCTTCCCCCTTCTGCTGTGGTGCCTCACCCCAGGCAGTGTGTGTGTTCATGTGTGTGTGTGTGTGTGTGTGTTCATGTGTGCAGTGGCTCATACACACGCTGCAGTGTGTCAGTGCAAGGATATGAGTGAGTGTTGACGTGCGGAGTGAGACAGAAACAGAGATAGGGTGTGGAGAAGAATGGCTCAAAGCTGGGTCTGTGGGATTCAGGGTGCCATAATGTGTGTGTGTGTGTGTGTGTGTGTAATACTAACGTCCAGGATAGGTCCATTGCAGTAGTGGCAGCGTGGGGAGAACAGGTCGTGGTAGTCCTTCTCACAGTAGGGTGCTCCGTCCCGCTCAAAGAAGTTTCTGGAGCCAATCTCCTCTTGACAGTGGGTACACACAAAGTGCTCCGGGTGCCAAGTGCGCCCCATGGCGGTCACCACCTGGGCACAGGGAGGGCACAAGACAGACGCAACACAAATCTAAACTAGGAGCCTCAACCTAGAATTTTGTGAATCTGGACTCGTATTCATAAACTGTCTCAGAGTGGGATCAGGTCCCCCCATCCATGTAATCTTAACCATTAGAATCTAAAAGACCACACTGATCCTAGATCAGCGCTCCTACTAAGAGTCTTTACGAATATTGGCCCAGGGGTGAATCCTAATCAGAGATGTGCATATGACCATGCCAATGTCCCATTGACATCAATGCATGATTGATTTCCACCGGTTAATGGTGCATATCTCCAGTTCAGATTCAGCCCTCAGTGTGGAACAGTGACCTTCCTATTGTGGACAAAGTAATTAACCTTATTTCCATTACCAGCAAACATCGATTATATGGAAGAATGCAAACCATGCAAGCTCTGTAGGCAGCTCAGAACAACAGGGTGGATTAACCAATCATGACCACTGTTGTATTGACCACGAGCAGTCAAAATTGATCTAGGAATACATTCAACAGGGATCCAAAAATGTATGTAATAAGCACAGTAAAGGTGAATGTGAGTGTGTGCGTAAGTGTGAGTGCGTGAGTACGGCCTGTGTGTGTTGTGCATGTGTGCGTGTGTCTTCCTGTGTGTATGTGTGTGTGTGTGTGTGTGTGTGTAAGGTCACCTGTCCAACGATGGGCTTGTTGCAGGCCCCACACACTCCCTTGGCCACGGTCTGGACGCCCAGTTTATGGAGGTCTGACTGGAGGCTGCCCAGCATGTTGTCCAGCTTGTTGGCCTGTTTGGGGGGAGCCGTGGGCAAGCTCTTCCCCTGGGCCAGAATCTGTGGATGGGTCACACACAGACAGACATGTCAGAGAAAGAAACAGACGCACAGAAACACACACGCAGACATTAAGCATACACACTAACATATAGAAACGTACACATGCAAGCAACACAGTTCCACAAATAGAGATCCCTTCCCAATTAATGTTCTGCTCAATTCACAGAAAACCTAATTAAAGCGTAGAAGAGTCTCTATTCAACAACTCTGCTGATTACATCTGAATGTAATTGCCCCTCTGGGATTAAGTATTTGGAATTTAACTGAGTCTTCATAGACAGCAGTAATTATTCTTGACGAAACAGAACACACTCTCCCTGGGCTTATGTGACATGCCAAAGAAAGCAGTCTTTTTAATGGCTGAAATGGAGAATGCCACTGGCATGGCATGCCAGGCTAGAAAGAACATGTTCGACTCATCGCATAAAAGCTGACATTACATAGAGCACTGCAGTCCAACCCTGGAACTCTTTAATTGGACTACTGTCTCCAAGAGTAACTCCTCTTATTAGCTACCTATAGAGCCTATTGATTGTGTTGATGGGCAGAAGTAAGTTGGGAGGGAACTACACTTCTCAAATGGTTTGGTCATTGGAGCTTCCTGACCTAGTCAAATTCCACAGAGGGAAAAAATAGCCTGTCAGTGGGCCTACTGCTTACAAAAAAACGTGTGCGCACACACACACACAGGGAAAAACAGTCACGTACAGGCAAATTTCACTGATGAAAGGCAACCCTCACTAAACATCCACCCTTCCATCTGGAGTAAAATCAATACCAACTTGGTTTAACCTTGATGAGTTTGTTAAAGAGGAAGGGAACGACATGGCCCAAGTTGCCGCCGCTAGACGTCATTCTCCAAAAACCGGGACAGTTCACTCGCCAGCCTGGATGTCATGCTCTTTAATCTCTACAGAATGGATTTCACACATCCTTAAAGAGTTCCTTCCTCATCACAACCCCTCTCCTAGACTCTTGGTGCAGCAGTGTTTAGAGATAGGGCCCAAAATAGATATGTTTTCTCGACACACACACACACACACACACACACACACACACACAGTGAAGAGTTTTGGTTTTGACAACACGTCCACTGACACAGACCACTCAATACAAACCAAGAAATTGAGAAACAAAGTTGGTGATAGTGAGAAAATAAATAAGTGAGAGGCAGATTAGGCCAAAGAGAGAAAGGGAGAAATAGAGAAAACAGAAGGATAAACGAACAAAGTGGATTGAGTGTTCCATGCCTCCATTGGTGGGAAGATGGGATCGTACTCAGTCTGGCAGCCAATAGACACAAAGACCTTTGGGGGAGTGGGCGGGGTGGGCGGGGTGACAGACTTGGGCGGGGGGCTAGGGGTTTTGTGCGGGGCAGGTTCCCTGGGTGGAGGGGTGGGCTCTCTGGGGGTCGGCGTCCAGGAAGAGGTGGGCTGATGCTCCACAGGTGGGGGGGAAGGGGTGCGTGGCGGGGGAGGGATGGGGTCCTTGGGAGGAGGCGAGGGGGGTGGGGGCGGGGGAGGAGGCAGGGGCGGAGGGGTCTGCTTGACAGGGGATGGCTTTTTGGGTGCCGGGGGGGACTGCGGAGGGGGAATGACTTTTCTCCGAGGGACAGGCGAATCAGGAGGGATGACAATCTGGGTGCGGGAAGAGACAGAGAGCAAGAGAGAGACATCAAAGATGAGTGAAATTAAACCACAGGAAATAGAAAGCCTCAGTTGGGGCAAGAAAACATCAACAAGTGGTTACAGAAGAATACGGTTGAGAAACTGTTCGCTAGTCATAATCCATATGTGTGGTATAGAAAAGGGCCTTGGTAACGTTACTCTAGAATAACAGCACAAATCAAGAACAACGCTACTGGAAGGTGCTGCAATGAGAGGACTTAGTACTGGCTCCGGCCACATCACTGTACCTTGTCCACCACCGGCGAGGCCCGATCTTCCCGCGTGCGCTGCGGGTTGTTCATGACGATGACCCCTTCAGTGAGCCAGTCGTCTGACTGCTTCTTGCGTCGGCGCTCAACGGCGCATTCGATTCCCAGCTTACCCTGCAGCTCTGCGATGAGACAGTCCTGGGAACTGCTCTTGGTGAAGATGACAGGACCCAGTTTACGCCTCAACAAATGCCCGTCTCGGTACATGGGGTGCACGTTGGGCGTCTCTTTGGTGCGGCAGATAACCGACTTGAGCTACAGAGTTGGGTAGAAGGAAGTAAGGGGGGGGGGGGGCATGGTGGTGCTTCCCCATACCTCCCATGACCACACACATATCAGGGGTGCTGCAGAGCCAGGCACGAAACACCAGGAAGCACAATCCTTCAGGCCAGGCCGGCTGATCGCAAAGGTCAAAGGGCACTCCACTCGACTCCATTCCATTCCACTATTTTCCGAGGCAGTCTATTTCACACCTGCTAGGCTGCAGTGTGTGAGCATGCTGGCTGATTGAAAACACGTAACAAACGTCCATTCTTCTCAGCGCAAAAACATACAGTGCAGCAGGTAGCCTAGCGGTTAAGAGCGTTGGGCCAATAACCGAACGGTCGCTGGTTAGAATCCTAGAGCCGACTAGAGGAAAAAAATCTGTCGATGTGTCCTTGAGCAAGGCACTTAAACCTAATTGCTACTGTAAGTCACTCTGGATAAGAGAATGACGTAAATGTAAAATACACGATGTGCAAAACAACGACTAGAAATGTAATGCTCCTGCAACACACAGGCGGACATAAAATGCAAGCAGCAAAACCGATGGTCTTAGATTCTTGCAGTAATGTCACTGTAGAGAAGCAGCTCAAGTCCTGCTAATGTCCTTGAAAACAGATTCTCAAACATGGTTCCACAGGCCTATATAAACATGTTTTAGGTTTGTCCCCTCTCCACTCAAACATTGCACAGAGAATGTGTGTAGTACCTAGCCCTGTGGAACACCAGTAGTGAGACCACATGGTGCAGATACAGACCTTCTTCACGTCACCTGGAAGAAGCGGTACTAGGTCAAATCAAATTATTCTCCCTTAACACCACTGGCTCTATTTTCGGCTGCCGCTAAGAGAGGCACAAGTGTCAAACACACGTTAGTTTGCAATTTCGTCATGTAAAAACGGGCATTTTCCAACCTTTACACCAGGTTCGGCAATTTACCTGTCTAACATCAGCTTGCTGAGATGGGAGGGTGTGTTCATAAAAACAAGCGCAAAAGTGACAATTTTATGCAGAGCTGATGGTAAATTTGAAGACCAACCAAAAGCAGGTCTTAACGGTAACGCATGGATTTTGAGAGTGAAAGCGCAGCCTATCCAGCTATGACGCACAGTCCCCATGGAATGAGAGATGTGCCTTTTGTGCCGGTGAATCTTATATTTAGAAACATAAAAAAACTATTGGTTTCCCTCCCATTTCATTTAATTTGATTAAAAAAACATGCATAGCCTACCTTCCCCCTTATTCAAGGCTGGTTTAGCAGCTTCACATAAGTGTTTATTTTTATCCTGGCCTTGCATTAGCCAAGTAGCCTATGAATAAAGGGGTTTTAAATGGTATACTGAGAGTGCATTATCATCATCAACATATAATCCAGCATATTGACATGAGGTGGCAAGCTACACACGGCTGAGCGGTGAAGGTTTGCATCACTCTTGATTGTGCAAGTGACAAGCTCACAGATGCAAGTTGAGACGTGCAATATAACTGTAAACAACACACAGCGGACATTTCCACATGGTAGGCAGTTAACCCTCGTGACTTTTCGCTGACTTATATCCTTGTGCAGTTCACAATAGCCAACATTCTTCACAATGCAGAAAATACAAACTCCATGCATCACTTCTCAGGTAAAACTTTGACAAGATGCCCTATATATTCAAGTCCTTGTGTCCTCATGTGTTCATGTGAGTCGCTCTCCCAAAATAAGAGCCCATCTCAATCACTTCAACTTGAAAATGACTAACAGATCATGAAGGAACTTGAATGAGCCTAGCCTGGTGGAAACAGTCTGATCGCTGCTTTCACCATTCTATTTCACTTCACTTATCAGTCTGTGCTTAATCCAATAGATGGGCACTTGGAATAAGCCAGAAAATGGACGGTCCAATCAGCATCCTCTCAGAAACAGTGGGTGGGTTTAGGACAAAAACCCACGTGGTCAAACTGTTCTTTTAATTAAGCCATCCTCTGATTGGTTGAAGGTGATCCCATCGCTGACAAGTTATTTTTGAATAATGCCCCATTACAGACAGACTCAAACAGTTTCCAAGATAAGAAATCCCAGACTTACACTAACTGTCAAAAGTTTGGACACAAGAAGTTTCTTCAAGTGCAGTTGCAAAAACCATCAAGCGCTATGATGAAACTGGCTCTCATGAGGACAGCCACAAGAATGGAAGACCCAGAGTTACCTCTGCTGCAGAGGATAAGTTCATTAGAATCGAATTGCTGCAAAGAAACCACTACTAAAGGACACCAATAATAAGAAGAGACCTGCTTGGGCCAAGAAACATGAGCAATGGACATTAGACCGGTGGAAATGTTCCCTTTGGTCTAGAGTCCAAATTTGAGATTTTTGGTTCCAACCGCCGTGTCTTTGTGTAGTTCCCACCGTAAAGCATGGAGGAGGAGGTGTTATGGTGTGGGGGTGCTTTGCTGGTGACACTGTCTGTGATTTATTTAGAATTCAAGGCACTTAACCAGCATGGCTACCACAGCATTCTGCAGCGATATGCCATCCCATCTGGTTTGGGCTTAGTGGGACTATCATTTGTTTTTCAACAGGACAATGACCCAACACACCTCCAGGCTGTGTAATGGGTATTTTACCAAGAAGGAGAGTGATGGAGTGCTGCATCAGATGACCTGGCCTCCACAATCCCCCGACCTCAACCCAACTGAGATGGTTTGGGATGAGTCAGATGGCAGAGTGAAGGAAAAGCAGACAACAAGTGCTCAGCATATGTGGGAACTCCTTCAAGACTGTTGGAAAAGCATTCCTCATAAAGCTGGTTGAGAGAATGCCAAGCGTGTGCAAAGCTGTCATCAAGGCAAAGGGTGGCTATTTGACGAATCTCAAATATAAAATATATTTAGATTTGTTTAACACTTTTCCGGTTACTACATGATTCCATTTGTGTTATTTCATAGTTTTGATGTCTTCACTATTTTTCTACAATGTAGAAAATTGTAAAAATAAAGAAAAACCCTTGAATGAGTAGGTGTGTCCAAACTTCTGACTGGTACTGTATAAGTGAAGTGAAAAAGGATGGTGAACTTAGCGATCAGACTGATTCCACCAGGCTAGAATGAACCATCATCTGATAAAAAGCCAATGGCATCATATATATTAGTGATCATTTACATCTCTGTATTTTACTGTATCGGTTACACCTTTCAGTGTGTGACACCACCAGTGCCAGGATACATGGGAAAGATGAAATGTGTCAAAGTGGGGATTTGGCCTCAAACTTGGCCTAATAAAAGATAAACCATATGGTGCCTTACAGCCTTCAAACTCGCGTGCCAGCTTATTTTGGGAGAGCGTTGTTGTGGATGGATGGCCTATTGGAAGAGAGCGTCGTACTTGGCCCGAGGTGGACAGCCTCTCCACGGCCGAAGGCTGGTTCAGGGGCAGGTCCAGGGTGGTCTCGGGGGTTCCCGGGCACGCCGACGGGGTCAAGCAGTCGTCCATCCAGCTGGCCTTGGTAAGGGGGGTCATCGTCCCCTCGCGCCCATCCAGGGGTGTGCTGTGCCTTGGGTAAATCCTTTCCTCATCCTCCCAAGTCCTTTCCTTGTCTCCTGCCATGGCACAAAGCTCCACTTTGTCCTGATAAGTCATCTTGGCATGCTTCACTTCTCCCTCTGGCAGGGTAAAGTCGAAGGACAACAATCTGCCAAGAGTGTCCTCCAGCAAGGGCTCCCGACATGGCCATGTTATCCTCAAGTCAGGACATGCAGAAGGGGGCTCTGCTGGCTGAGCAGCGGTTTTGTCTGGCTGCTTCTCCTTCGGTGGGGAAGATTGATCAATGGGGGCTGACAGAGGAAGGGTGATTGTTTTATGAGTGGGACTCTTAGCAACACTAACAGGAATGGGGCTCTTAGCAACCAGAACTGGACTGGGGCTCTTAACAACTGGAAGAGGACTGAGGCTTTTAGGAATTGGAACAGGACTGAGGCTCGTAGCAACCATAACTGGAATGGGAGTCTTGGCAACAGTTATAGGACTAGGGGTCTTGACAACAGTCACAGGACTGAGGGTATTGGCAACAGGTACCAGACTAGGGGTCTTGTCAACAGTTACTGGACTAGGTGTCTTGGTGGTCTTTGTATCCACTGCAGGACTGGGGTACTTTACAACTGGGGCAACAGGAGGATCGGGGGTCTTTGGCAAAGTGTGGCTTGTGGTGTTAGAGACCACAGTGAGGGACTCCATGTGGGAGGTCAGCGTAGTTCTCACGCTGGGATCAGTTTCTCCTCCCAGCTGTGTGTGGATCTGGGTGTACTGGAGGCTCTGGGATGAGGCCAACACAACGGTGGAGGCTGAAGCAGCTGAGAGGGGGGTGGAGGAGGGAGGGCAAGCGCAGGCATCTTCATCTATGTGGAGTTCTAAAGGAACAGGGGTACAGGAGGGGGACGTGTCACTGGGGGGCTCCAGCTGCAGATCCACAGGCCCAGTTGGGTCTCTGGTTACAACTACTGGGGAAGCAGGGGCTGCAGGTGACTTCGTCTCCAAGGAGGAGGGTTCTGATCCTTGACTGAGCAGGAGGGGATTCATACTGAGAGACAACTGAGAACCAGACTGGAGGACGGGCAGCAATGGAGCCGGAAGGGGAAAGAAACACACACACACAGAAACAATAATAGAAAAGAGAAAAAAAAGGGGAAATGATTTGAGGAGAAAAGGGAAGTTGCCACAGCGGCAGAAATGCACCATGGCATATCAAATCATGACCACCTCCTCAATAAAGCTGTGTGAAAATTGGCATTATATATCATAGTGATGGATATAAAAATCATTCACATTCCACACTTATTAACTCACAGTGTAAATAACTTAGTATTGTGGGATCGATAAGGTGAATGGTAGTAAATGCCCGACACAGTCTAGACCACAGCAATCTACCTGTGTGAAGAACCCCCACATCAATGCCAAAAATCTAAATACGACCTACATTTTAAAAGTAACACATCCACCATTCATTTGACTGCACATTTCACCCTACAGTAAGTCCTTTCATCCCATCTGCATACCTCTCTTTCTCATCCATCTCTACACCCACCCATCTATCCATCCATCCAGCTGTCCATCCACCCATCCATCCATCCATCCATCCACAACCACCCACCCATCCATCGGTCAACCTACTCATCCATATAGCAGTTAGAGCGTTGGGACAGTAATTGAAAGGTTGCAGGTTCGAATACCTGAGTTCACAGGGTGAAAATCTGCTGATCTGCCCTTGAGCAGGGCACTTAACCCTAATTTGTTCCAGGGTGCCGTACTACTATGGCTGACCCTATAAAACAACACATTTCACTGCACCTATGCGAGAATAAAACATATATACACAAACACATATACACACACACACACACACACACACACACACACACACACACATACATACTCACACATATACAGTAGGGGAAAAAAGTATTTAGTCAGCCACCAATTGTGCAAGTTCTCCCACTTAAAAAGATGAGAGAGGCCTGTAATTTTCATCATAGGTACACGTCAACTATGACAGACAAAATGAGAAAAAAAAATCCAGAAAATCACATTGTAGGATTTTTTATGAATTTATTGGCATATGATGGTGGAAAATAAGTATTTGGTCAATAACAAAAGTTTCTCAATACTTTGTTATATACCCTTTGTTGGCAATGACACAGGTCAAACGTTTTCTGTAAGTCTTCACAAGGTTTTCACACACTGTTGCTGGTATTTTGGCCCATTCCTCCATGCAGATCTCCTCTAGAGCAGTGATGTTTTGGGGCTGTCGCTGGGCAACACGGACTTTCAAGTCCCTCCAAAGATTTTCTATGGGGTTGAGATCTGGAGACTGGCTAGGCCACTCCAGGACCTTGAAATGCTTCTTACGAAGCCACTCCTTCGTTGCCCGGGCGGTGTGTTTGGGATCATTGTCATGCTGAAAGACCCAGCCACGTTTCATCTTCAATGCCCTTGCTGATGGAAGGAGGTTTTCACTCAAAATCTCACGATACATGGCCCCATTCATTCTTTCCTTTACACGGATCAGTCGTCCTGGTCCCTTTGCAGAAAAACAGCCCCAAAGCATGATGTTTCCAACCCCATGCTTCACAGTAGGTATGGTGTTCTTTGGATGCAACTCAGCATTCTTTGTCCTCCAAACATGACGAGTTGAGTTTTTACCAAAAAGTTATATTTTGGTTTCATCTGACCATATGACATTCTCCCAATCCTCTTCTGGATCATTCAAATGCACTTCAGACGGGCCTGGACATGTACTGGCTTAAGCAGGGGGACACGTCTCGCACTGCAGGATTTGAGTCCCTGGCGGCGTAGTGTGTTACTGATGGTAGACTTTGTTACTTTGGTCCCAGCTCTCTGCAGGTCATTCACTAGGTCCCCCTGTGTGGTTCTGGGATTTTTGCTCACCCTTCTTGTGATCATTTTGACACCACGGGGTGAGATCTTGCGTGGAGCCCCAGATCAAGGGAGATTATCAGTGGTCTTGTATGTCTTCCATTTCCTAATAATTGCTCCCACAGTTGATTTCTTCAAACCAAGCTGCTTACCTATTGCAGATTCAGTCTTCCCAGCCTGGTGCAGGTCTACAATTTTGTTTTTGGTGTCCTTTGACAGCTCTTTGGTCTTGGCCATTGTGGAGTTTGGAGTGTGACTGTTTGAGGTTGTGGACAGGTGTCTTTTATACTGATAACAAGTTTCAAACAGGTGCCATTAATACAGGTAACGAGTGGAGGACAGAGGAGCCTCTTAAAGAAGAAGTTACAGGTCTGTGAGAGCCAGAAATCTTGCTTGTTTGTAGGTGACCAAATACTTATTTTCCACCATAATTTGCAAATAAATTCATTAAAAATCCTACAATGTGATTTTCTGGATTTCTTTTTCTCAATTTGTCTGTCATAGTTGAGTGTACCTAAGAGAATTACAGGCCTATCTTTAAGGGGAGAATGCACATGGTGTGAAAATATTTTTTCCCAGTACATGTGTTTAGTATGTATATACAGTACAGTCAAAGGTTTTCCAACCTCCATTCCAGGGTGTCTTGTATTAGATTTTCATTGTAGACATAATAGTGAAGACACAAACCTTAAAAATTTTTTTAAATTTTTTTGGGGGCCAGGGTGGTCTCGGGGAGTTCGGGACGCCGACGGGTAAGCGTGTCCATCAGTGGCCTTGGTAAGGGGGGTCATCGTCCCTCGCGCCATCAGGGGGTGCTGTGCCTTGGAGTCCTTCTATCCTCCAAGTCTTCCTTGTTCTGCAGGCAAAGCTCCATTTGTCCGAAAGTCATTGGATGCTCCTTCTCCTCTGGCAGGGTAAAGTCGAAGGACAACATTGCCAAGAGTGTCCCAGCAGGGCTCCCGTGGCCTGTTATCCCAGAGGAATGCAGAGGGCGCTGGCTGAGCAGCGGTTTTGTCTGGCTGCTTCTCCTTCGGTGGGGAAGATTGATCAATGGGGGCTGACAGAGGAAGGGTGATTGTTTTATGAGTGGGACTCTTAGCAACACTAACAGGAATGGGGCTCTTAGCAACCAGAACTGGACTGGGGCTCTTAGCAACTGGAAGAGGACTGAGGCTTTTTAGGAATTGGAACAGGACTGAGGCTCGTAGCAACCATAACTGGAATGGGAGTCTTGGCAACAGTTATAGGACTAGGGGTCTTGACAACAGTCACAGGACTGAGGGTATTGGCAACAGGTACCAGACTAGGGGTCTTGTCAACAGTTACTGGACTAGGTGTCTTGGTGGTTCTTTGTATCCACTGCAGGACTGGGGTACTTTACAACTGGGGCAACAGGAGGATCGGGGGTCTTTGGCAAAGTGTGGCTTGTGGTGTTAGAGACCACAGTGAGGGACTCCATGTGGGAGGTCAGCGTAGTTCTCACGCTGGGATCAGTTTCTCCTCCCAGCTGTGTGTGGATCTGGGTGTACTGGAGGCTCTGGGATGAGGCCAACACAACGGTGGAGGCTTGAAGCAGCTGAGAGGGGGGTGGAGGAGGGAGGGCAAGCGCAGGCATCTTCATCTATGTGGAGTTCTAAAGGAACAGGGGTACAGGAGGGGGACGTGTCACTGGGGGGCTCCAGCTGCAGATCCACAGGCCCAGTTGGGTCTCTGGTTACAAACTACTGGGGAAGCAGGGGCTGCAGGTGACTTCGTCTCCAAGGAGGAGGGTTCTGATCCTTGACTGAGCAGGAGGGGATTCATACTGAGAGACAACTGAGAACCAGACTGGAGGACGGGCAGCAATGGAGCCGGAAGGGGAAAAGAAACACACACACACAGAAACAATAATAGAAAAGAGAAAAAAAAGGGGAAATGATTTGAGGAGAAAAGGGAAGTTGCCACAGCGGCAGAAATGCACCATGGCATATCAAATCATGACCACATCCTCAATAAAGCTGTGTGAAAATTGGCATTATATATCATAGTGATGGATATAAAAATCATTCACATTCCACACTTATTAACTCACAGTGTAAATAACTTAGTATTGTGGGATCGATAAGGTGAATGGTAGTAAATGCCCGACACAGTCTAGACCACAGCAATCTACCTGTGTGAAGAACCCCCACATCGATGCCAAAAATCTAAATACAACCTACATTTTAAAAGTAACACATCCCCCATTCATTTGACTGCACATTTCACCCTACAGTAAGTCCTTTCATCCCATCTGCATCTGCCTACCTCTCTTTCTCATCCATCTCTACCCCCACCCATCCATCCATCCATCCATCCAGCTGTCCGTCCATCCACCCATCCATCCATCTATCCATCCATCCACAACCACCCACCCATCCATCGGTCAACCCACTCATCCATATAGCAGTTAGAGCGTTGGGACATTAATTGAAAGGTTGCAGGTTCGAATACCTGAGTTCACAAGGTGAAAATCTGCTGATGTGCCCTTGAGCAGGTGTACAATGTGTTTATGTATGTATATACAGTACCAGTCAAAGGTTTGGACACACCTACTCATTCCAGGGTTTTTCTTTATTTTTACTATTTTCTACATTGTAGAATAATAGTGAAGACATCAAAACTATGAAATAACACAAATGGAATCATGTAGTAACCAAAAAAGTGTTAAACAAATCAAAACATATGTTATATTTGAGATTCTTCAAATAGCCACCCTTTGCCTTGATGACAGCTTTGCACACTCTTGTCATTCTCTCAACCAGCTTCATGAGGTAGTCACCTGGAATACATTTTAATTAACAGGTGTGCCTTCTTAAAAGTTAATTTGTGGAATTTTTTTCCTTCTTAATGCGTTTGAGCCAATCAGTTGTGTTGTGACAAGGTAGGGGTGGTATATAGAAGATAGCCCTATTTGGTAAAAGACCAAGTCCATATTATGGCAAGAACAGCTCAAATATGCAAAGAGAAACGACAGTCCATCAATACTTTAAGACATGAAGGTCAGTCAATACGGAACATTTCAAGAACTTTGAAAGTTTCTTCAAGTGCAGTCGCAAAAAACATAAATCGCTATGATGAAACTGGCTCTCATAAGTACCGCCACAGGAATGGAAGACCCAGAGTTACCTCTGCTGCAGAGGATAAGTTCATTAGAGTTACCAGCCTCAGAAATTGCAGCCCAAATAAATGCTTCACAGAGTTCAAGTAACAGTAACATCTCAACATCAACTGTTCAGAGGGGACTGTGTGAATCAGGCTTTCATGGTCAAATTGCTGCAAAGAAACCACTACTAAAGGACACCAATAATAAGAAGAGACCTGCTTGGGCCAAGAAACATGAGCAATGGACATTAGACTGGTGGAAAGTTGTCCTTTGGTCTGGACTCCAAATTGGAGATTTTTGGTTCCAACCGCTGTGTCTTTGTGAGACGCGGTGTGGGTGAACAGATGATCTCCGCATGTGTATTTCCCACCGTAAAGCATGGAGGAGGAGGTGTTATGGTGTGGGGGTGCTTTGCTGGTGACACTGTCTGTGATTTATTTAGAATTCAAGGCACACTTAACCAGCATGGCTACCACAGCATTCTGCAGCGATACGCCATCCCATCTGGTTTGGGCTTAGTGGGACTATCATTTGTTTTTCAACAGGACAATGACCCAACACACCTCCAGGCTGTGTAAGGGCTATTTTACCAAGAAGGAGAGTGATGGAGTGCTGCATCAGATGACCTGGCCTCCACAATCTCCTGACCTCAATCCAATTGAGATGGTTTGGGATGAGTCGGACGGCAGAGTGAAGGAAAAGCAGCCAACAAGTGCTCAGCATATGTGGGAACTCCTTCAAGACTGTTGGAAAAGTATTCCTCATAAAGCTGGTTGAGAGAATGCCAAGAGTGTGCAAAGCTGTCATCAAGGCAAAGGGTGGCTATTTGAACAATCTCAAATATAAAATATATTTTGATTTGTTTAACACTTTTTTTGGTTACTACATGATTCCATATGTGTTATTTCATAGTTCTGATGTCTTCACTATTATTCTACAATGTAGAAAGTAGTCAAAATAAAGAAAAATCCTTGAATGAGTAGGTGTCCAAACTTTTGACTGGTACTGTATATACAGTTGAAATCAGAAGTTTACATACACTTAGGTTGGAGGCATTAAAACTCGTTTTTCAACCACTCCACAAATTTCTTGTTAACAAACTATAGTTTTGGCAAGTCGGTTAGGACATCTACTTTGTGCATGACACAAGTAATTTTTCCAACAATTGTTTACAGACAGATTATTTCACTTATAATTCACTGAATCACAATTCCAGTGGGTCAGAAGTTTACTTGGGAGCAATTTCCAAACGCCTGAATAGTACGCAAGTATACACACACACACACATCCTCGTAAAAATAATATTTCTGTAAAACTCACATTGCTCTGGACTTTGAAGTCAGACAGCGAGGCCATGAGCTCGTCGAGCTCCCGCGTGGCGGAGGAGGCAGAGATTCTGGCCTGCAGCTGGGAGGGTGTCTCCTCCTCCCCCTCCGTCAACTCCTCTACCACCAAGGCGGTGGGGCTAGAAATTAAATAAACAACAACAAACATTAGGTCATAAATTCCCACAGTCAAACATGAAAAACACACAGGAAAATAGCACAATCAGTGTACAAGATTAAACGGTCTTCCGGAACTTGAGGTGCAGTGCAATTGCGTCGCTGTCAATTTTCCCCCATTTCTGGGGATAGGAACGTTTTTGACCAGCACTAAAGCCTTCTGCATGCTACAGGAAAAACCCTTTCGCTGAAGAACAAAAACGTCATAAAATGTCGTCATAATATATGCACAAACTGTTCCGAATTGATTCGGATGGGAAGCATGCGGACGCCTTAATCCTTACGTGGGGGAGGGCACAGAATTTTCTAGCTCGTCCAGAAGGCTTTCAACGCTGGGGCGTACATCTTCAATGACCCTGGTGGCCACGCTGCGCTTGGGCTTCTCCATGGTTGGGGGAGGCACCTTGCCGGCCACCGAAACCCCGTTCTCCTGCACATAGTGGGTGGTGCTGCTAGAGGGGAGGGGCGGGGCTGTCTCCTCTGCAACACAGAAGGAAAAAAAAACATCTTTACATACAGTATTCCCAAGTTTCAACAACAAAGACATAGTGCCTGTTAAATGATTTATGTACCAAACAGGGTTTTCTACCCGTGAGCCCTGGTCAAAAGCAGTGCCCTATATAGGGAATAGGGTGCCATTTGGGATGCACACATAAATGGTATAGCGTACCCTCAGTGGGGAAGGAGGGCGTGTTGTGCTGCACGGCGTTGAGCTCCAGAAGCAGCCGGTCCAACTCCGACAGGTTGCTGCCCAGGAAGGAGCTCATGGCAGCCTCCGCACTCTTTTGCTTGTTGGGGAAGCTGCAGGAACCAAAAGAGACACACAAACATCAGTAACAGACATCTGATGTTCATTTTGTCTTGTGATGCTACACAAACAAATGTGTAATGTTATTATTATCATTATTACCTGTAGACGTGGTCGTCTTCGCTTTGGGGTAAGGAGGGGGAGCTACTGCTGTAGGACTAAGAAAGGGTAGGTACATATTTAGAAGTGTAGTATTTGAGTGCTCTAGATGGGTAATGTGGTAAATGGGTGTTTGTCAGGGGTGTCCAACTTTACCCTCAATAGGGTCATGTGGGTACAGGCTTTCGATCATCCATTCATAGTCTTCACCAAGACTATTAGTTTAATCAGGTATGTAACTTACTGCCCACACCTTCCGTTTGGGTATGTACAAAGGTGTATATGAGTATGTACCTGTGTGGACGACCGGGTGGATTCTAGGGGGTTGAGCGCGGTTCCGTTCAGGGCCTCAGCAGAGGGAGGTGGGGGTACAGGGGGAGGAGCCTGTCCTCCCGTGAGGAAAGAGTAGGGCGTCTCGTCCGGCAGAAACACCGGCCGCTTGGAGATGTGGGAGGTTGTCGACTCCAAGTCCGCCAGCAAAGCATCTAGGAACATAAAGAGTAAGATCCTTTTTTTTTAATGCAGTAAGTGGCAATCTTAAAACCAACAGTTGACCTGGTGTAAACAGAAAATCATTGACAAGATTGACAAAACTCATAGGGAAATCCCCTTTGCTTGTTTGAATGCATCTCTCAAGGCGAGGTTTCGTTTTAAAACGTAGGCTATCCTGTCCCTAGATCTCTCATCATCTAATATACCACAATGTTGCGCAGGACAGTAAGCCACTAATCTACTGTAGTCTCAAACGTAATTGTTGTGGAAGTTTATTTCCTCAACTGCAAACAGGAGTTATGACCTTTGACCATTCATCATCCTCCTCCTCCTCCTATTGGTCATCAATAAGTACACCTGACAGTGTGAGGTCCAGACCCTTTCCCAACGTGTCCAAACACAGCCAGATGGGAATAACATTTAGACTGTACAGGAGGAGCAGCAGAGTAGTAAGTAATCCACTTCACTGAATCATCTGGACTATGTCACCACTCAGCACCACTCCTTTGGTTACTCATTTACCCTGCTGTAGTACACTTACTCTGTTTTACCGCTCTGCTGCTCCCAGAGTTCCACTGCCAAGAATAGAGTGTGAAGTGAACAGCAGCGACACGTGAAAGCTTTGGTAACTTAACATTAAAATGTATACTTTATTAAGGATTTATGGTAACGCTTTACATTAAGGTAACCTTTAAACAAACTATAAATAAACAGTTTATATACTACTTATAAACCTTTCATAAATCATGTGAAGTATACCTTAATCGAAAGAGTTCGCCTACTACCAAAACGTTCTCTGCCCAGGTTGTATTCACTGCCAACCAATTGTTGCTTTCCACCTTTGATTGAAGTGGTTAATCTAGATCATGTTCATTCAATGCCTAGGAAACATGGACCAACCCCAATTTGTGATTCAACACCACACCTCCCCAGCTACCCTCTAAATGCAGCCATTATATCGGAGTTAACAAAACAGCAAGCCAGTTAGCCTCCCAGACAGTTTGTGGGTATTGAAGAGAGCGAGGAAGACTACATCATCCACACCAACTCTGTTAACCACCTCTACTGTTACACACCCATGTCCCTACACAGAGATCACTTCTCTTAAACTCTTAAATCGATGCCTCTGATTTCACAAGTGTGAGAAACTGTGTGCAATGCAATCCCCCTTCTTCACTAATAATACTTACCCTACTGTCTCAATAGACTCTGCTTCAGTCAGAACATGAAAACAAACACATCCATAAATGAACTGTGAACGATATGCACCTAAACTTTAAGAAGTCAACAACACACTGCCACACTGAACCAAATATCTGATAAGATGATCGAAACATAATGCGCTGAAAACTGACGACGGCAAAAGTTGAGAAATAAAAGGAAACCATGAGACTCACATCAGTGGAAATGACATACCTGAGGCGATAAAGACTAGCACATACACACCCCAGGAGGACCAAAAGAGGAATGCAGAGGAAGACAGGGAGGAAGAACGCAACCAACACACTGGCTGACAGGCAGGAACTGCTAATCTTAACTACCATCAGAGACTGGTAATGAGAGACTGAGATGGGAGGGAGAGGAAAGGAGGGAGGGAAGAGGGGAGGCGTCACTTTGGTGGCAGCGGGAGGATTAGGTTTACCCCTAGCAATGCAAGTTTGAAGTTTCAGTCTTCTTGGCTCTCTGAAGGCTGAGGTAATAACTCACACGACTGCTGCAGAGAACAGTCGACTAACTAGGCAAGTAGAGCCAACTCAACAACTTATTACAACAAAGCCTGGGAAAAACAACGTTGTGAAAAAGTTGTGAAAGTGCTGGAAGATATGTTGTGAAAGAGGGGAGGAGGGGTAGAAAAGAAAGACCCTTATTAGAGTGCCGTACCCACAGAGGGAGTGGTGTGAGGGGTAATTCAATTGAGCCTTTCTTCACTCTGTCTCTTGTTCTGTCGGTCTCAAGGTTCAGTCCAAGTGCACTTGACTTCAGTGACCAAGTCATTTAATAACATAACACACTCCCTCATCAGTACGGAGAGGCTGAGACAGACAGAGTATCCCATGGCACAAGGAATCATGGATGCCAGTGGTGATCTGTCACGACTTCCTCCGAAGCTGCCTCCTCTCCTTGTTCGGGCAGGCTTCGGCGTTCGTCATCACCGGCCTTCTAGCCACTGCCGCTCCTCATCTCATCATTCCATTTGTTTTGTCTTGTTTATTACACACACCTGGTTCATATCCCCTCATCAGTACCTGTATAAGTATACCCTCTGCCCCCCATGTCTATGTGTGTGATTGTTTATCATGGAGGTTACATTAGCTCGGTGGAGCTACATTGTATTTTATATCGCCAGGATATTCACCCGTGCCTTGTTTTAAGCATTGCTGCGTACCGCTGTCTTACCGAATAAACCATTTATTTTGTGATTTACCCTCCTGCGCCTGACTCTGTCCAAATCACCCGCCACAGAATCACACACCCAACAACATGGAGTCAGCAGGAAACGGGAATACAGTGGCTTACGATAGAAAAATGCCAAGGGTGGTGAATACTATTTTGTTGCCTTACAACCTGGAATTAAAATTGATTTTTGGGGGGGTTTGTATCATTTGATTTACACAACATGCCTACCATTTTGAAGATGGATTTTTTTTTTGTTGGGGTGAAACAAACAAGAAATAAGCCAAAAGAAACTGCAAACTTGAGCGTGCATAACTATTCACCCCCCCAAATGTAATACTTTGTAGACATTTACATTTTTACATTTTATTCATTTAGCAGAGGCTCTTATCCAGAGCGACTTACAGTTAGTGAGTGCATACATTTTGCATACATACAATTGCCACCTTTTGCAGCAATTACAGCTGCAAGTCTCTTGGGAAATGTCTCTATAAGCTTGGCACATCTAGCCACTGGGATTTTTGCCCATTCTTCCAGGCAAAACTGCTCCAGCTCCTTCAAGTTGGATGGGTTCCGCTGGTGTACAGCAATCTTTAAGTCATACCACAGACTCTCAATTGGATTGAGGTCTGGGCTTTGACTAGGCCATTCCAAGACATTTAAATGTTTCCCCTTAAAACAACTCTTGTTGCTTTAGCATTATGCTTAGGGTCATTGTCCTGCTGGAAGGTGAACCTCCGTCCCAGTCTCAAATCTTTGGAAGACTGAAACAGTGTTCCCTTAAGAATTTCCCTGTATTTAGCGCCATCCATCATTCCTTCAATTCTGACCAGTTTCCCAGTCCCTGCTGATGAAAAACATCCCCACAGCATGATGCTGCCATCACCATGCTTCACGGATGGTGTTCTCGGGGTGATAAGAGGTGTTGGGTTTGCGCCAGACATAGCGTTTTCCTTGATGGCCAAAAAGCTCAATTTTAGTCTCATCTGACCAGAGTACCTTCTTCCATATGTTTGGGGAGTCTCCCACATGGCTTTTGCTTATTTTTTTCTTTAAGCAATGGCTTTTTTCTGGCCTCTCTGATTAATGCCCTCCTTGCGTGGTCCGTGAGTTTTGGTGGGCGGTCCTCTCTTGGCAGGTTTGTTGTGGTGCCATATTATTTCCATTTTTTAATAATGGATTTAATGGTGCTCCGTGGGATGTTCAAAGTGTCCGATATTTTTTATAACCCAACCCTGATCTGTAGTTCTCCACAACTTTGTCCCTGACCTGTTTGGAGAGCTCCTTGGTCTTCATGGTGTCGCTTCCTTGGTGGTGGCCTTTGCTTAGTGGTGTTGCAGACTCTGGGGCCTTTAAGAACAGGTGTATATATACTGAGATCATATGACAGATCATGTGCCACTTAGTTAAATAAAGTCCACCTGTGTGCAATCTAATTATGTGAATGTCCATTACATGAAATCCAAATAAAAATCCATTTAAATTACAGGTTGTAATGCAACAAAATAGGAAAAACACCAAGGGGGATGAATACTTTTGCAAGGCACTGTATATGCCTGGAGTTGTGGAGCGGGTCCGGGAGCATTCCAACATGCTAGCCAGCTTGGGCGAAGCGATGGATCGGGTTCTCCAGGTCGTCCAACACCTGGAGAGGACCCGACCCGTCGGGACCAGCTGAGCGACCGGATCCAGCCACCCACACCCCAGCACCCAGAGGGATTCACCTATCCCGACCGAGGGAGTACGACGGGACAGCGGCCCGCTGCCAGGGATTCCTCCTGCAGCTGGACCTCTATTTTTCAAACATCAGCCCGGCTCCCTCGGGTGGAACGAGCGGGCCCTCATCGACCACTTCCGGTGCAGCCTGCGGGAGGACGTCCGAAGGGAGCTAGCCTGCCGGGATACCACGTTGACTTTCAACCAGCTGGTGGACATGGCCATCCAGTTGGACAACCTGCTGGCTTCCAGAGGACGTCCTGGAAGGGGCCTGCCCGTTTCACCCCCCTGCAACCCGGATTACTTGCCGATGGAGCTGGGTGAGGCAGCAATCCAGGAGAATGACAGATCCAGGTCACTCTTGCTCCGCCCTTTTGCCTTCTTCTCTAAGAAGCTCAGCACACCAGAGCAGAACTACGACATTGGTGATCGGGAGCTGTTGGCTGTTGTCAGAGCCCTGACCGCGTGGAGGCACTGGCTCGAGGGGGCGAAACACCCTTTCCTCGTCTGGACTGACCACCGTAACCTGGAGTACATCTGGGCAGCGAGGAGGCTGAACACTCGCCAGGCCAGGTGGGCCTTGTTCTTCACCCAGTTTGATTTCACGTTGTCATACGTACCAGGTACTAAGAACATGAAGGCAGACGCACTGTCACGGCTGTACGACACAGAGGAGAGGCCCATAGACAACACCCCCATACTCCCGGCCTCCTGCATTGTGGCGCTGGTAGTGTGGGCAGTGCACGTGGACATAGAGCGGGCGTTACGCACAGAGCCATCTCCACCTCAGTGCCCAGCTGGGCTGCGGTACGTGCAGTCTCTTGTCCGCGATCGTCTGATCAATTGGGCACACACGTCCCCCTCCTCTGGTCACCCAGGCATCGGCCGTACAG